CCCCCCCCCCCCCCCCACCCACTCTCCGCCTTGGCCCTCTCCCTGCCCTTCGTGCTGGTCCGTCAAGTGATCATTGTGGCTACGCTCTCCTCCCCCTGTCCCTACCCCTGCCCCTCTCGTGCACCTGTCTTCATCCCGCTTGTCTTGTATTCAAAGCACCTCGAAATAATAGTCATGGCTGCCCCCCACCCCCGGGGTTCTTGAAAAGTTTCGGGTGCGCCCTCGAATCGCGAGAGAGAGAGAGGGTTTCTTCCCCTTTCTGCCCCTGACACTGTTGTTCTTTTCATTCCCCCAGCTCCACAAGCACGGGTGGGCCTGGCGCCCCCGCAAGACTTGACACGTCCCCTATGCTCGGGCGAGCGAGAGGGAGCCTTGAAGCTTCTTTGCTTGATGCAATGGGGAGGACAGAGCTACGTAGCCAAAGAACGGAGTCAAGCTGGGCCCCCTTTTAGTTGCTCAAACGGCCTTTAAATGCCGCTCACACCACCGCACTGGCGCAGAGAAAAAACAACCTCCTTCTCATGCCCGCAGAAAGAAAGAAAGCGAGCGTTTAGGAGGGGTGTTCTTTGGGGCGGGAGTTGAGAAACTCAGCTGGGGGAATGCGGATAACTCTCATCCCCGAACGGGGGGTACATACCCGCATACCCCAAGCAAGCAAGAGAGAGAGAGAGAGTTTGAGAGAGAGCGGAGCTTCTTGCGTTTGCGGCTCCAGGCAAATCGTGAGCAGCTTGCGGCCGAACTTTCCTCCACCAGAGCCCGAGAACAGGGCCTTGAAGGTGAGCTGGCGGCCCTTCGCCGAGCCGTGTCATGCGCGAAGACGGAAGTTTCCCTCCTCCGTGCAAAGCTCGCTACACCGCCGTCCCCATCAGTATACTCACAGCCTTCACGGCCTGCACCCCCAGACCCACGCCAAAGTGGTGGTGAGCCCGAGATGGGAACCGGCATGGCTTCCTGGTCTGCCCCGAAAGCTGAGCCGCAAATGGACAAGAAGAAGGTAGAGCTCTCAGCGTCGGACTTTCCTCCCGGACTCAAGATAGAGCCGACGTCGCGATCCGACATCTTGGCAGCAAACAAGCCATTGTCGCCGGAAGTGACAGCTGCTATAAACATAGAGCCCAGCAAGCGAAAGCTGTCGAGCACTTCACAGGCTTTGCCACCGGCACGTGCCGATGACTTCCCAGATACACAGCAAGACGACAAACCGCATGTGAAGTGCGCTCGGTTCTCCGATCCTGGCATCCCGGAGCCCAACTTGTGCCCTCCGGTCGTGTCTGCGCCAGCGTGCCAGCGAGACTCGTCGGCTTCCCCGCTGCAACGAAACCTAGCTTTGCCTGTCTTGGCAGACATGGCTTCAACTAAGGTCGCTTCTGGGCCTTCGGGGCCTTCGGGGCCTGGCCGGCCTGGCCTTTCAGATCCTCCCCGGCATCCGGCGGCCTCGGCCTCTTCCATTCTCAGGCCTCCAGCAGCGCCATGCAAACAGCAAAGCGCCGGCCCGCCGCTTGGCCTTTCCAGCTGTGCAAAAGGATGCCTTAATACTCTAAATAAGTATGTAGGACGATGACCCAGACGCGGCCTGTGTCTCTCTGAACAGCTTCAGAAGCGCTACCAAACAAAGCCTCTGAAAACAGCTGTCTGGCGGCACTTGGGGTTTCTGCTACAGGCTGCCTTTTGAACAAGCCTCTCGTGCGTCTCCCATACATTCGCGTGTCGGCCAGTTGCACGTGTTTTGTCATGTCCCAATGTTATGTTGTTTGACTAACATCCATTCTTCCATGCCATCTGTGACCCTGAAGCAAAGACCAAGTTGTGCAGGTGGGATAGCCTATCAGATAATTGACAGGGGAAGGTAAGTAGATTTGTGGGTAAGTGCAGGGCATGGCTTGTCGTTCAGTTCAGGGCCAGACGGCCGAGCGACTCTCCAGCTGCTTCGATTCTTCGATTGACTGAGACATACAACACTCATTGCCGATTGCAGCTGTTTTTCCTGCACAAGGATGACATTACTCTAACATCTTATTCACTTGCACCTGTGAGCTGCCCCTGACCTGATTGAAAATCTCACCTAGCCTGACTGCTTGTCCGAGCTGTGAGAGTCAAACAGTTCACAACAGATGCGAGGTCAGGCAAGCCGGCAGCCACCTCCGGCAAAAGGTATATGCGCACTAAAGAGGAGGTCTTGCGGCTGGCGCGTTCGATGTAACTTTCACGCCTTTGGTTTGGGGCCACTGGGGATGTGAGCCGGCTTGGGATGAGTGTCTTCTTATCATAGGATCACTTCACCACTGTTGGATTGAGGTTGCGGTAGCTTGATCGGTGGCGCATTCAACTCCAGATACACCTGTGACCTGAGAATGGCTTGAATGACTTCAGGTATTCCACAAAGCCCACCGCGAAGCAGCTCCGCAATCCTCCGCTGAAGCTCCCTGGATGATTTCAACGTTGTAATGCCCAAATGGGCAACAAGGCACATTTCATCTTCCGTTTTGCTTTCCAGTTTGCTGCGGCCAGCAGTTGTCGCTTCCGTTCGAGGTTCCGTTGTCGATTTCGCTTCCGTTTGGCCTTCCCAAAAAGCGGAACGGAAAACGGAAAACCCACCATATGCCGCACGCAGAAATCAGATTGAAAACACAGAGTGTTTTCTATTCCCGCTTCGGAACCCAAAACCCACCCAAATCCAGACGAAACGGTCGGAAACTCCGAAGCTCCCAGACAAACGGAAACCCAAGCGGATGTGTCCAAGGAATTGTACATCAGACCTGAAAACTACACGGGATGGAAATCCCAAACGGAACCGCAAACTGACGTCACTTGGCTGAAACTGTCACAGAAAGAAAGAACGAGAAGGTCAGTAATATCCCTGCCGCATCTTGCGGCATGGATGCAGGAGCATGTCGCAGCAGATTGCCAGACTGGCACAGATGTTTTGGCAAGCTCTCTTCAAAATCTGCCAAGAAATGAGACACAGCGGAGTTGCATAGCCGCTTAGCCTTTGTTAATTTGTGTTGGTTGCGCCCTGGACAAGAGGCTGTATCCAGCCCATGTGGACTACGTCCTCGCTACCTGGGACCGGTGCCCCCCAGGAGGTACTGAAGCTGGAGCATCTTGCCGTGTTACAGCCAGGCCTGCAGCATTCACCACGAACACAAATACCAATTCTGGAACGCTCACCAGCTGGCAGCATGTACAGCCCCTTTGCGGCACTTATGACACTTCCCGATGGCTCATTGTCGGCGGAAACAGATGCTCAAGACGTGCAAGTTCAGTAGGCGACACAGAGGGCTTTGAATCTCAGATGCCGTGCCTCATGCTGTGAACACGTCTGCCACAGCGACAACTAAAACAGGATCGCTGTGAAGCCCCAGTGCCGAGGCACTTCCTCCAGTTGCAAAACGCACAGAGCTCACGTGACAGCCTCTCCAGCGTGCGTGTCGTCTCCAGTGTGAGATGAGCTCCTGCTAGCTTTACAGATCGAATGTTCACAGTCTGCCGTGGAAGCCCAAAGTCCGAAGCTTCCATCCTTGAGCCTAACATTCGCAAGGGAGTGGTAGTGTACAGTTCCATGCTGACTCCACTGCTGTACAGGATATAGAGCTTGCCGGCTGAGAATGGCTGAATCGAAAAACTGCAGCGGCAAAGCAGGAATCTTTGCGCTCACACCCCTAGCGCCCTAGCATCTTTGCTGCAGCATTTCTTCAGATCCTCACACCCAGGTCCAGAACCATAGTCATCGGGAACGACAGAAGCAGATGACGGCGACGGTCACGGTGATGTCGACTGGATATTTATGTTATGCTGTGGGCTCTCTCCTTATCCACAAGGGGAGAAACCCACCGCATAAGAAAAAGCAGGCCCGATGTTCGATGGCGGTAGTGGTGATGATGCCGCGATGCCGGTAATGATTGTCATCGCCATCATCACCGCAAAGAAACACTACAACATCATGGCAAGCGTCATTGAAGAAGTGATTCTCGAATGACTGCACCGCATCATCCAGTCTCCTGCAAGGTTCGAGATGATGCGAGCATGTACGTAGCTTCGAGGTTGGGGGACTCACACCCACCCACTCCACAACAAAGATGCACCCAGGTAGGTAAACGCTGGAGGCGCCAAATGATCCAACTCCCAAACTCCGACAAAGGTCTTTGGAGGGCATCTAAATTTGCCTTGCAAAAAAGTCGAAGTAAAGACTTGCTTAAAGCCCGACTCTTTAGTTGTTTATGCAGCAGCTATGAATATAAGTTAATGCACCTTCCGTACAGAATCATGTCGTTCCGAAGGTGTTGCTCGTAGCATCCCGGTGTTGCAGGGTCAGCTTCAGCCACGCCGTCTTCGACAAGGAGCCAGGTGCACAACGCCTTGTCGCACGGATGCTGGCGGCTCCGGGCTCAGAGATGGGCAGAAATCCTCGCAGCCCGTGGAGAGATCAGCTGTGTGGGGCTGCTTTTGGGCACGTGGCCTTTGATGCTTTTGCCTCGGTCGTAGTCTGGTTGTAGATGATGACCACATGTCTCACGGGTATAGAAAAACCAGAACCCCACCTTGAGGATGATTGCTGGCACGGAAGTTTACTCCCCAACGCTGCTGTGGGCAGTTAATGTAACGACTCCAGCCATGGGCTTGGACATCGAGGCTTTGCGAGCATCCCTGCAGCACAAGCCGTTTCATGCGAAGGAAAAAGTTGTACTCAAGATGATCCAGCATGTTGAGGCGATCCAGCTCCAGCAGCAGAGCCTCTTGGCGACCGTTGCAGAAGTCGTCGACCAGAGCTCAGGATCTTGCATTCACGCGAAGACGCTGATGGGCCAAACCGTTCAAGTGGATGGAATCGATGCCAACACAACGATCGAGCAAGTGAAAGAAGGGATTCAGCACAAAGAGGGCATTCCTGCCGAAATGCAGCAGGTGCTCTACGCAGGCAAGCAGCTGGAGCACATCCGGGGTGGGACTGAATTGCACATGGTCCCGAATCTCCGAGGGGGCACGTACGACTCAATTTCCGGTCGTCAGGGTTTCAAGGTGGTCGCAAACAAAATCGTTTTTGACGATGGAAATGAATGGAACTTCGATGGAAGCCCAGAGAGCCTGCAGCGATACAGCGATCACGAACAGAAGCTGGTCTCCTTCGCCTCCAAGGCTGAGATGTTAAGTTACTTAGAATCCTGTCGCATGGAAGAGCTGCTTCGGCGTTTGGAGCTGGTCCAGTCCAGAGGCCGAGAGGTCGCAAAAGAAGCGGCCCTTTGCCTGTCCAGAAAAGCCTCTCAGAAGACAGAAAAAGTAGCGGACGAGTTTCCACCAGAAGATCCGCAGTTGGATGATGCGCTGCTGGAGCGAATGCTGAGGCGCCAGGAAGAGCTCCGTTTTGCCCCCGAGACGCTTGAGCGCATGCGAGCCTGCACAGCTTCGGGTGGAGAGTGGCTTGATGTCGTCCGCGATTTGCAGCGCGAGGTTGCGATCGAAAGCGGGTTCAGGTCTGCAGTCGGGATTTCCACTGCGGCGAGACGCATGCAGACAGCCCACACGGTGGCTCCAAAGCTCGCCAAGCTGTCCGTGTATGCGCGTGCAAATCTTGCAGAGGATGGTTTTCTAAAACCAGGCCAGCCACTGCCAGACGTGGCCTTGGTGGACCTTGATGGCCAGAGCAAGAGGCTGAAGGACTTTTGCGGAGATCTCACCGTTGTTTGTGCCGGCTCCTGGACCTGACCCCCATTTCGTGTTGCCATCCATGTCCTGAATGATTTATACTGGAGACGACGTGGACAGAAGAGAATCCGTTTCCTGTGTGTGTACATACGCGAGGCCCATGCTACAGATGTCTGGCCCATTGATGGGCCACAAGTATTGGAACCGCAAAGTACCATGCAGCGGCTGCATACAGCACTCGAATTCCAGCGCAAATGCAAACTTACATGGACAATGGCCGTCGATGGAATTGAGGATGCCTTCCTACATAGCTTTGCGCCGTGGCCGTTCCGCTTCTATGTGTTTCGCGGCGACCGGTTGGAGTTCAAGTCCGCGCCGGTGGATGGCACGCACAGCTTCGATGAAGTCGAGGAGGCGATCCGCAAGTTTGAGGTAGAACTTTCCGGGTGAGGGATTGAGTGGTTCGTCTAGGAGAATGTGGAGTGCAAATGATGTCAGCAGTGGGGCCTTCACTATCCTAAAGGCCGGCTTGCAGACGGACAGCTACTTAGCATTCCCGTGCGACATTTTGTTTGGCACTCGCAAGGCGAGCTGCAAGGACTTTCCCCAGAAGTGGTTTTGCCTTGCTTGTACAGACGCTCTGCCAGGATCTCTCGGATCCTGAGAGCCCGCACAGGGCGCAAAATGCCACAGCTCCGCCATGACAGAGATCTGAACAAACCCAGCGCTTATTCTAGTCGGGTGTTTGCGCAGCACCTGCGGAGGTCAGCGAGTCTGACCGCCCGGATGCCCAGGCCAGGAGATTCTTTCTCTTTCACGGTCGAGAGCCACGCTTCGGAACTGCATCCCGCCTTGGCCCTGACAGGAGTGCCTGCGGGATGCATGGTTGTCGGAGCCAGCAAGACCCAAGTCATCGCAGGAACAGCCTGTCAGGGTTGCTATTTGGGCTTGCAGAGTTTCCTCGGTTCGTGAGCAACATCACAGACACTGAACCCATTAGAGCCGATGCCCCGAGAGTCAAGTGTTTGGACAAAGCTTCCAAGATTAAAGATGTGGGGGTTTGGGGATTACAGAGTTGACGTGGACTCGCGTGCTAAAGTGTGTCAACCCCAGGTGGAACTCATAGGAGGCATGCCCGAGCATGTCGCGGCAGGGTCCTGGAATGCGGTCAAGCTATATAAGTGGGGGACGCATTCGGATGTTCTTGGCCAGAGAGAAGGAACTTGTGTGGGAAGCCCAAAGACAGGATTCCGCCCAGCCTGTGGCACGCGCTGTTCTAGTACATCATGTGCGAGGCCAACGAAAGGGCGCTGAAGCATGCGGGTCGGGGGTAAATCTTGGGGACCCCTCAAAAGATACGCTCGACGGCTTGTGAGGTGATAGTCTCAAATTGCTAGACATGTTACTCGCAAGCCTGTGCCTGGCTCGGGGCATCACCGCACAGCGCAGCAGAGTGGGAACTTGATAGAGCTCCATCCGTCAGTAACCTCACCAACGCTGTGATGCAGCCAGTGCAACAGCCTGGAGTTGCACGTCAACGACGAACAGGACCTGCTTTCAAACTATAACATGAATTGATTCCGAGCAGGACGAGCACAGCCGGCCACGGCCTTATCAGGGACTCACGGGCTGAGTGCTTGTAGTATGCAACCGAAGCAGAGTAGTGGTGGTGGTTCACTTGCACTAAACCCATTGCTGTCAGCGCGAAGAAGCATGTGTGTGTTGGAATACTCAAACTTCAGTCTTTAATTATTTAACCCATAAGGGCGACAGGATCCAACATCACGGGGCCACCACCACTACAGGTGCAAAGCCAGCAAAGGACGATGGCACACAATGCGGTCGGACGCCCAGCCAGCCGCATGCCCTGCTGCCGTGCTGAAGAAAGTAGTAGAAACCATGATGAGCTGCACCTAATGACATCTCCTGCCGATGTAGGCCATTGGAAATGTCCAACAGCTTCTGCATCGATCGCATGCACAGGCAGGGCGGAAGCTTGAAGCTTTCTGTTTAATGTGAGAGCAGGAGATCTTCAGGCCGCTGAAGATCTCCTGCTCTCTGCCCACAGCGCAGAGCAGAAAGAGCCTGGAAGCGACCTGGCTCAGGGCGAGGCCCACCCGGCCAGTCGACGGGGCAAGCGCATGGCCTCGGACGACCTTCCGTTGGGAAGCTCAGAGTTGTGAGCCGGTACTTGCCAGGGTTTCCCTAAATTGCGTCGGTGTGTCTCTATGTATCGTTGCCGGTTGTTGTTGTTGTTGATGATGATGGCAGTGATGGTGATGCTAACGGCTTTGTTGTTGCGCACTGTTCTCTGTCTGTCTGTGTGGCTCCGCGTGTCTCTCTGTGTTGGTGTGTGTGTCTCTGTATCTCTGTCTCTTGGGTGCGTGCGAGTGCGCGCGGGCTGGGGAACCTCTCATGCTAACGGCCCAGTGAAGACTATAGTCGACAATAGTTACTCAGGATTTACCCCACATGAACAATCCCTGATCGCCCCGTAGCGCTAATGTGCCCCAACAGCTCCAAGACCTGACCAATGTTTGGGTAATCTCCTTTCCGTGCAGGGGAACCTGGGCCGGATCGCTTGCATGAGCGGGCAACTTCGTCGGATCTTTTTCCGGGGGCCTTTCTTCTTGCAACAGCCAGTGGACATGTGCCTAGGGCATTGCCATGACTGTTCTTGCGAGTTGGGCTCGCTCCTGCGCAGTGCAAACTGGCACGGTATCGTCGGTATCGTGATACTCATGTTCATGATGTTGTGTGCGGCTTGAGGAAGACGAAGACTTCACACGAGGCTTGAATAGTCTTTCCAGCGAAGTTCAGTTCACATGCACAGAAACCGCCACCACGAAGCAAGCAGTATTCAAAGTGTCCGGTTTTCAGATAAGGAAAGTTGATCAAGAGGATTCAAGAACGAAGCAATGCAGGGCTTCAAGAGGAAAGGCGGAGATCCTGGAACATGCACTGCTGCTGCGGCAGCCTGAGACTTTGCTAAAGAGAGCCAGGCCAAAGCTGCGTGAAAGGCACAACGACGGCTTCCCGATGGCACTTTCGCCCTAGTGGCGCTAGCCTCACAATTTAGTTTCCAAAGCTTGTCCCATGTTACACTAGTCTTAGATTCTTTGGCTCATTTCATTGGTTGCTTGTGCTTGCAGACTAGTGAGCATGTGCTAGGTAGAACAGTTCTGTGATTTGGGCTGGCCTCATTCGCATCGGTCGTGGCTGCAGTGGGATCTTCCGAATGGAGATACTGCCTCAGCCAAGCAGTAACCACCATGGATAATTGCCAAGCTGGTATGCATGTGGCCCGGAAGTATTTGGTCCCAAGCAGGCCGTGTTGACTTTTTTGCGAGCATGATTCCTCAACCAATCTAGCAAAGGCGCGTTCTCAGAGAAGCATTTCTATTTCCTGTCCGTGTAATCAGGGTCTAGGTGCTCCGGGATGTCTGTGAACTTGGCTGCTAGGATTGAAGGTGGCTTGCCACTTCATCAACGGTGACAGTGACTATTGGCTGCTTGCATTATTGGACTAGACCGCATGCTTGAGCACAACATGTGGTCACTGCTCGATTTTCAATGGTAAATGGCTTCAACCCACTGCTTTCGAATGCTTCGCTTCCATTGGCCTCATTCCGATTCATGTTGTGGAAGCCATGATGAATACGTCAATGCTGGTGCAAGCGTTGTGCATTTTAGTCTCACCTAATCGACCCCTCGGCGGTCATAGACTCATAGACTATCTCTTTATAGAGATAGTAAGTGTGCGTGTCAGATCACTCCGCGAGGCCTGGTGACGACTTTCGCAGATCAGCCGGCAGCCGGTGGTAGATCAGCTTCTGTGAGATCCTGAGAGCGTGGATCTTCAAGTCCGACACAGGCCCTGGATGCATTGTTTCACACCGAAAGCTTCCACCGTGGAGTGCAGATGTGCGTCTTCGTGCACTGTGCACACATCGGAATTCCGTGGGCACCTTCACACTTGCTTCGCACAGGGGTTAAAAGATTCGATCACTCTTTCAGGAAATCTGTGAATCATGTTCAGACTCTGGATTCGCATACTCTTGCACACCAAAGTACCAGGTTTTTTGCTGGGAACGGACCAGGTTCTGGAATGTTCATGGCCCACCAATGGAGAGTTCACTCGAAACCCACGAGCTGGGTTACTCGCGACAAATTAGTAGATGCAAGCCAACTCCACAGCCGCAGGACCATGCATCCAGCTGCCGCAGCGGTTTCGGTTTCTCAAAAACTTTGGTTGGGAAGTCTTTGCCACAGCCCGTTTGGCAGGGTGCCCACACATGCGTTTTTCAGTTCTTAATCTGCAACTCCTGGACGATCGCCGAAGGCGACCGCGTCGTTATGAGCTCCGTCCCGAAAAGAAGACAAGCAGTTTACTGTGCAACGAAAGGTAGAGAGCAGTTGAACTTCTATCAGCTAGCGGCATTCGTTGGTTTGGCACATCTTGCAGATTGGAACAGTGATACTTGATCAAGTTGTCGCATCAAGTCTGCATGGACCAACTGTTAGGTGGGTCTTGCTTGCTGTGATGCTTTTGCTTGGGATAAGATGGATAGCCTCGTGTACCCGCGAAAGATGCGCCTCCACTCATTTGCGGCGCACGCCAGGTGCTCAGTGTGGGGCGGCAGAGAAGAAGGCAGGCTAAGCACAGAAGAGGACTGTGATGGTTGCGCGAACATGTCGTAGGTTTTGGAGCTAGGCTTTTTTGCGGCCATGTGGCTGATAGACATGTCACTGTATTGTGCTGTATTGCCTTGTGCATTCATTGTCGGTGCTGGCATGCCGATGCCTCCTCGCTGAGCAAAGTCTAGGTGTTCCAAACTCCACGAAACTCCAAGACAAGCTGACAATATTTTGGCCACTTGCAACCCCGACGCTGGCACACGCATCCTCTCAGTAACGAAAATGAGAACCCGGACGGCTTTAATGCTTGTTGCTACTGTGGCAGGTTCCATTCTCGGTTGCGTTGACAAGAACGCGGTGAGCAATTCGGCAGAGACTAACAGTTCAGCACATGATCTCTCCGATCCGAGCCCCAAAGCCTGCCAGAAGACCATGGGTTCTTGAAGCGCCTCAGGCCAATTAGATCATGGCTGCCGCAGACGACAAGTGGAAGCTTCCACCGGACAAAAGCCACAGGTTGCAAGCTCGTGGGGACTAATTTGCGCAGAGAGTGGTTCAACTGCTGTGGGTGCACTGAAACTTGATTTTTGCTGTTGCATTGCAAAGCTCAGTTAAGAACACTGCAGCCCTGACATCACCACAAGCAAACCTAAAATGCTCCTCTAGGCGACTGTAGCGAGCTGCTGTTTTTCCTTGCAGCTTACTTGCACAGCATCTGGATGTCGTTGGCATTGTAGTGTTGCTGGCACCAGTAGGGCACATGCATTAACCACAAAACGGCGCCTTGCGATGCATGTTTGAAAACCAAGCCGCTGCAGCACTGTAGTCTTCGAACAGCGACACATGGAATGCTGGCACCTCTGATGCCGGCTTCTAGGGGCCGGCGTGTGAGCACAAAATCTTGGTACTTCTGTTTGTCATTGCCTGCTGTGTGACCGCCATGATGCATTGCAGCATGGGCCGTGGTGCCTTGGCTTTGCAGTGTGTGCCGATTCTGGTTGTCTTGCTGTAGGACTGGTCTGTTGTATTTAGCGCTAGTGCAGCACACTTGCTGCCGTGTTCTGGCGGAGTTGCGTAGAAGAGCCTACCAGCACCAAAGCGGGTGGAATGATAATGTGGAGTTATGCCAGAGGATGGAGCATGGTGTAGTGATGCTGTATACTGAACAGGGCAGCAGCTGTTGTCATTGCCATCGCTGCCTAAGTTGCAGCTCTGGTGGCCGGGCTGGTGCTTTGGACCATTTCCGGCCTGCAGCTGCACTGGCGCGAGCTCGCGACGCTTAGCGTGGTGGCTCCGGATGATCCGGGTCCGATCCGGCTCAAGGCGATGACATCATGGGCAAGTTGCAGCTGTGCGAACCTAAACTTACTCATAACACCAGGCTGCTAAGGTTAGATGTAAATCAGCTTTGGGATTTGGGAATCAACCCAATTTGCTCGTAAGTCGAACCCTGTGCTGCCCCACACTCGGATCATGAACGAACTTATCTTCCAAGATCCCAACTCAGCACTGCAGGTTCTTATGGTACGTACCATCGGAGCACAAGAGGTTCAATTCACGAAGGACGATATCCGATCTTTGGCGGACAAGACTAAGGGTATTCAAAAAGCGAACACATCCCACTGCGCTGCCCGAAAGCTGCCGGGGCTTAAAGCACCCGTAAGCCGAGATCTGCCACTGGACGCGTGGCCAGCAGATGTTGTCTGCTACGCAGGCATCACAGACTTGCTGATTGACCTGCATGTCATCCTCTTAGTGTGGGAAAAGGTTGGGAAGCTTGATGTGTCGGACATTCCGCTGAACATATCGGTGATTCACGCGCCGAAAACCCGCAAGCTCGATGCTTGGGTGTTGCATCTCACTGCAACTGCTGTAGCAGCCTACGACTATGTGTGGCTGGCAGATGGAGACGTAAAAACCTCGGACGTGAACTGGTTTGCCTTCTGGACGAATATGCTGTGTCTGGGCCGCTCTTACTTGGAGGGCCAGTGTATTCTTGCGACTTCACCTAAGCTCCAGGCATTTCCTTAAGACCAATAGTCCGACTGAATTTCAGCGATCATGTCTGTACTATTTCAACAGTTTCTGCATTGAAACATCCGAATATAGCATATGGTTGGGTTGCGGCTAAACCCGTCATGTATTGAGACCCCTTGAGCCCAGTCCCATTTCGCTGAAGGTATTTTCAGCCACAGGTTGCTCAGCCTGCCATCGTGGCGTTCGACAAGGGGAAAATTCATTGGAGACACTGGAGAAAGAATACCATTGTCAATAAATTTCATAGAAGCACCCAGACACGAGGAAGCGATCACACCGTACTGCGAGTTCCGGAAGATGATGAGGGTGAGACGTGGGCCATTGATCCCACCTTGATTGCTGCTGAGGTGGGGATCGTCGAGATAATGACGCCTGTGCTCACCCCCAGGGCTTGGTTGGCTATGAGGGAAGCACTTGTCAGCAACAGCAAGGCAATGGAATGGGTTACCAAAGGCGCCACATGGTGCGTGGATGTCAAGTGGTGTCAGTTGGCTCGTACATCTGTGCTTGGCTTGGAAGCCGCAGGGGAACCGGACGTCAGTATCGGGGCTGTGGCCCAAAGGCTGCTTTTTCCGCGCACAGTCAAGATTTTCGGTTGTCAGGCTTAGCACAGATCTGAAGGCATGTACAAAAATCTACTGATGCAATTAGCCTCTGCGAAATCCCGGCTCCCGTCTTGGCCGACCCTTCTCTCCAGGGGCCTTTAGAGCTACAGCGGCTACAGGTTACAGAAAGCACGCAAGGCTATGTAAGCTTCAGCAATTCCACGTTTCTTGTGTCGCGGAGGTATAGTAGTTTACAGTTCAGTGCATGTGACAAGTTCAGCTCGTTTGGCTGAACATGGTTCTGGAGTCCTAAACTTGTTCCTATCGGCAAGCGAGCAGTGAGGTTTCTTCAACAACAATCCAGCTACTTTGGAGAGCTTTGGCCTGCTGGCAAGCAGCAGTGGGACTCGTACGAGCCTCCTTCCTGCATGGTATTCTACCAGAGTTTTGGACTGACTTGGAATGCTTTTATTCATGTCTCTTACTCGGCCCGAAGAGGCAGATGAAAAGGCTGTTTATGCGAGACAGTGAAGGACACCTGTGCGTCATCACAACTTTCAATCACTGAAGAAGTCGGCTTTCAAGCACAAGAACTTCGAGTTGTGCCGCGAACTTGAGGTGGCGCTGACGAACACAACACTTCAAAGCGTGTTTCGCACTTTCTACGAGTCAGATCTTAGAGAAGGCTTGCGCTTCATTAAAACCAGCCACCAGCCCGACTGTGCCAAGCTGTTGCACTTAGACCCGACAAGTTAAAGGCCTCGGCAGCCAGGAGAGGAGGCCCACGCATAGACTTCGAGGTTCAGGGAAGGCGTGCCAACTAGAAGTGGAGCATGGCGTCTATACGCAGGCGCTTATGATTGGACATGATTGGACTTTCAACACAGGAACAGCTGGGCCAGTGTTACCCGGAGTCTCGTTTGGTGGCGCACCAAATCACATTGCATTCTACTTGTCTTCGATGTTCTTCTTGAGAGTGCATCGGATGTGACGTTTGTCCATGTTCCGTTGCTGGACTGGAATAATGCTGTTTTATTCACAGAGCAAATGCGCTCCATCGAGCACACCTCTGGTTGCGTTTCATTCAACATATGGGTCGTAGTACGCCAGCTGTTTATTCCCAGTGGTCAGCACTTGTACTCTGTTCCACGACAAGCCGCCACAAAGAGAAGACTGGAAGGGCGATGGGGGCTAAAGGGGTTTCCGAGCCTACGAGGTTGCAGAGCGTTCAGGGCTTCAGCTCCGGGTTTGATCAGCTTTTCAATAGCTTCCATTGACCACGCATTCCGGCGGATGTTGGTCTCCTCCAGGTTCAAGAGACTCAAATAGCCCGGATCTAGTGCTACACGAGTTGTACACATGTTCAAGGCTCAGTGTTCAGGCCGTTTTGTGGCGGAGGTTTGATCTGGGACTCGAGCTATGCACATCATCCCAGTGACCAGCGGACTTCGGGCTGCTGCGTGCTATTTGCTGTTGGGAGTCGTTGGCTGGCAATGCTTGGCCAATCTGGCCAACCTGGTGCTCGACCCTGCCCCCTGACACGAATTTTTTGACTTCCCCACAATGAACTCAAACCTCGGCCGAATCCCCTGATGCCCGACCCGGCATGCGTGCGGCATTTCGGGGTTGAGCTTCATGTGTGCGGGCAATGGCCATGGAAATCCGGGTTGGTAACCTGAAAGGGTTCGAGGATGTTCCCTCGATTGCATTTGGCCCACAAGAGAGCTTCAGTGGTTTTCAGAAAAGGTTCGCGTGTTCTAATCCATGGTGCATGGATGGTTTCTTGTGGGGCTGAACCCTGTTTTTGCTGCTAATGGCTTCAAGCCTAAGACTGCGAAGCGAACTGAACCCGGAATGAGAACAAGGAATGCTCGAGCCGAACAGCAATCAAGCAAGCTGTAGATGTAGCGCCAAGGTTCGCTTGCGCCTTCAGCATGCACCGCCGTCTTCAATTCCCCCAGCGGCACCAAACACGCTGCAAAGCCCAGCTGCGCGGCAATGTCTTCAGCATTGCATGTTGCCCATACGGATTGCAATCGTGTCCAGGCAATTTGGGAAGGGCTGTACTGGACAAGCTTTATAGAAGTGAGTGCCTTCGCAACTTGAACACCTTCCTTCCTAAGCTTCAACCCTCGATTCAAGCAGCTTTGTTCCACGAAGATTTCATTCTCAAGCTGAGATGAGGAGAGGGAGCAAGCATTCAGACGAGCTGCCCTCATCTAAGGTTGCGGTGTTGCCCACCAACACCGCAAACGCTCTCCTGGATGAGCACGTTTCACTCTCATCTCCTGGACCTGTCTCTGCTGCGAAGCCAAGTATAGCTGCTTGGCTTGGTTTGTCAGGCGCAGCTGGATTTTGTTTGGAACACGAAATCCAGACCGAAAGCAAGAGCGTTTTACCACCATCGTTTCAGAGTGTTCAGAACCTCACCACAACACAGGACAGAGTAGGGTTCAACAGGGCAGACGTTAGGGTCAACATTGAAAAGCTTCAGTTCCCCTTGTCTTGAAGCTTTAGACTGCCTGCTTCTCATGTGCTCATTGATCAAGAGAAGAGTCCTTGCTGCGGACTGCGACCAGACTTAGTTACAACTCGCAAACACCACCTTCAAGTGAACTCTGCACGTAATTGAACCTTCGAAGCCCCATTAAACTTTGCTGCGAAAGGACGCAGCTTCACCGTTCTACCTCACTGCCCAAGGCCAGCGTTTGAGATTCGATGGTGTTGAGGTAAGCAGCCTCAAACCCTGATCGGCTCCCTACGACTCCAGAACTCTCGCTTTCACGCCCTTATTAAGACTTCTATCTATGTTCAGGAAGCTGAACACTAAAACCGGCTCCGTGTGGCCCTTCGTGTTCGGTTCCCTGTTTCCACGCCGGCAAGAAGCGACAACAGCGGAGGTTTCTTTGCAGTATTTTGCAGTAACACTATCACTACGGTTCATGCGTGAAGTGTACAAATTGGATAAATGTCTGCCTCACCTGTGTGGCGACGTTGGAGCTTTCACACGTAGTGCCATTTGTTTCTTCTGCTTCCGCAAGCGCTTCGTTGAGGCTATTGCAGGGTGTCAGCCTAGCTTTCCACACCAAAGCGGGTTCGCGTGTGCTGTGCAAGTTCGCTACGTCCAAGATGAATGTCGGTCTTGGTTTCATTGACAAGCCCAGGTCTTTGAAAAGGACATAAAACGACCATTGCGCAGAAAGCACAGCTCCCCAACATCACCCCCGGTTTGGACAAGCCTTCTTGATGGTGCCGTGCCGGTGGGCAAGTGGTCGCCAAGGCTTGGAAGGGTTTCTTGCCCATCACAACCCTTCGGCGCCACGAAAGCACTTCCTCACGGCCATCAGCTAGTGAAGCCATTCCTCGGTCACAACGTCGCTCAATCTCGCTCACAGGTGCGACATTCCAAATCTGCCGAAGCACCTTGCGACTTTCCAGGTTGTGATTGGAAGCCTTCATCGTAAACCGTGTGCTTTCCCATGTCGGACACAATTCGTGACTGCGGCTTGCCATGAAATCGACTTCCTTGTGCTTCAAGCTGTCGGTGTGTGAAATTCAGGTATTGTGTTTGGTGTTTCTGTGTTTTGGTCTTTGAGTTCTCTTGGGTGGTTTGTGAGAAGAGCTGGTTGGTGGTCGCGTGCAGCAGCGCATGCCGGTTTCAGCCTTTTCGCGTCGGAGGCCCAGACTCGCTCAACGCGACGGTGCCGGCTTTTACAGTCGGATGCAGCCAAGTGAGCCGTACCATGTCGTCATGTGCTGTGCTGGAGGCAACCCGAATCGACAGCAGGACCTGGCAAGTCGCATTGTCATCATGCGACCAAACATTTGTGGCGCATGGAGGTGCTTGGGGAAGCAGCGTCCTGGAGACCGCAAGCACAGCAAGCACAACAAAACACACAAACCGGCGCTTCGAGACAATGCACGAGACTTTAGCGGAAGATGCGCGCGCCTGCATGACCTAAACGAGGAACTTCACAGTACGTGTTAAACACTGTTTGGGGAAGCCCTGCTATTACTTCCATGCTGCGTCTCCGGAGATCCAAAGTTGATGATTATTACGTTGCGGTGGATGTAACAAGCTTTACTTTCTCCTCCCCTCCATGGGAGAAGGCAGAGAACCCAAGCCCCAGGATCCTAGAAGCCATGACCATTGCTACAGGCCATGAGCGGGGTTAAACTTGAGGAAAGAAAACTAAGACAAATGGAAATTCTGCAGAGAAGCCCCCCAACGGTCCGTTCAATTCGAGAGCGATCTAGTCTTTCATGCCCAAGCATACCTCAAGATGACCAGCCTCAACAACCTTCACCCCAAGTTCGATGCATCCCATGCCAAATGGGAGTCGGTGAGCCTCCTTTGGACCCCCAGCGCGAGGCAGCTACCCTTACGACAGCTGGAAAGCCAGTCGCGGTCTTCAGCAGCTCCAGTCCGAGTGGATCGACGGCGTGGTGCATGACGTGGAGCAGAACCTGGCTGGGAAATAGGGGAGGTGGCAAAGCTTGGAAGCAGTCCGTCATCTGCGTGAGCAACAGTAAGGGACTGTGACTATGATAACAGGTCGTTAACTACAATACATAGCACCAGTATCGCATGAGGTTATGGTGGGAGTGTGCGACAATCGACAATCCCCGACAAACTTGGTTTTCACTGTCTGGAAAAGCCTGAAGAGTGTTCGAGAGCCACCGTAGCTTCGTGCCGCATTCGGTAACTCTAAGAAGGCTGCAAACCCAACGATTGCTGCTCAAGTCGAAGTTTGCAAGGGCTTTCAAGAAATAATGCTGCACCTGCAACGTCTCTAGAAACCTTGCCCAGCTCCGTGAAAATCTATGAAAATCTGCTACAGCAATCAAATGGACTGAATGTTCAGTTCGGACTTCCCAGATTCAGGGACCAGGATTGCGATGCTCATGTACATGGGGTGTGATGCTCATGTGCATGGCGGTCAGTGTTTGGGATGGGGGGTTTAGGTGCTGAGCGTTCAAGACGTTTTGTGTATTCGTGTGTGAGTGTGGGCGAGTGAATGTGTCCACTGCAAAGCATCGCTTTTTTGATGATTCGGGCGCCAAATCCTTTCCTGAACTGAATTGTCGTCAAGACTTTCTGAGCTTTAGGACCGTTCAGTGACTTTATGGAAGGTGTTTGCTCTCCAAGCTTTGTCGGACAAGTCTTTGCAGTGGTGACGTCCTTCCTGGTTGGTGCCTTGCAGAACGTCTAAGTTGTTTGCTCGCTGCTGCTGTAGAAGGTGTTCTCTTCTAGGGAGCATGCGAGCTCCTAGATTCCGCGTCCCGCATGTCCTCTTGTTCGTGGACAGGATCTTGCAATATCCAGAGTACGGAATGTACCATCACTCCCAAAGTCTCGGGCACGTAGGCAATGCAGGATTTTGTTCACCAGCAGTGCTGTGATTCTTCCCATCTAATAACCCCATATACAGACTTACAGGCTGGGACATACAGACATACAAAGAGGCTCTGGCCTATGGTATGCCAGGTCGTATTGGTCTATTCTGAACGATCCTCTACATCTCGTCATGAAGACTACATGGTCTCTTACATGTGAGGCAGTGCACATCGATTGGTGTCCACACTGTGGTGAAGCATTTCAGAACCGAACCTGGCATCCTGCTGAACATAAAACCGTTTGAACGTCCACATCGTACGAACATCAGCCGATGTGGGTCCACACAGGCGATTGAGCATGTGTACTGTTTGTTCCGTTGCGGAACCGGACCTGGCATGCATCCGAGCATCAGAACTGGGCCGGGCATGAATCCAAACATCATTTGGCTGAGCATCCACACTGGGGCTTCCTAGTTCGGATTCCAATCGGTTGCGAAGTGTCAACCGCGATTCAGCGTGCACACGATTCAGCGTGCACACTTGGCCTTGGCATGTTGGAGCCAGAGTACACCAGCTTGATGAGCGTTGACACTGATTTCTTTGTTCGGGGTCTGAGGTCATGTCTAGTTCAGGGCGGAAGCGGCCTTTGCCATGAGTTGACTGTCCGATGTCTCCTTTCACATGGTCTGGATGGGTTGGTGCAAGGCATGATAAGTCAGCAGCACAACAAGAGCCCGCGTCCCTTGCAATTTCGTCAGACGTGAGCATGTCTGTGTTTCTGGGGGCAGCGAGCTTCGAAAGTCAGCTCTCGGCACCTGCGAGAATCAAAGCGTCCCCATCGGCCGACTGCAGTAATGTGTACATCCACGACCTGATCTGTCAGTGTTACACACCGAGTAGCAATTTACACCAGCAGAGGTCTGAAGTTCATATGCCGGCTGCCTGACCATATGCGTCTAGGTACGGTCTTAAGTACCCTGGACTTCCAGGTAGTGTTTGAATGTCTCGGATGGGCCTCACCACAAGGAACACGTCTACTTGGATCCTGCCGAAGAAGCTCGCGACTTCCGTGAGGAGCACTGTCAAAATCTGCTGGCTACGGGTGGAAAATTTCGGAGATGACCCAATACCACGATATAATGACCCTCACTGTGTGCACTGTTTGTTTGTATGGTTAAAAGCCGTGCAGCTGTCCACATGAACGGACTTATACCTGGGAGCCTCTACACCCTACACATAGCTGCAGTCTTGACAGTCGACCGTCGACTACGTGCGATACTCTTATGTTATGCGACTCAATGTTTCAGGCTTGAAGCAAACGTTAGCTTTTTGGGTTGGGCAAGTCGGATGGAGGTACTGCAGCTGAAGCCGGTAGAAGCTCTGAGTAGAACAGGGTCCGTGTTGCTCGTGGCTGGATGTCACTTAGTTTATTGTTCAGGAGGTGTTTCCTCGCAGTCTGTAGGCCCCCCTTGGGTGGCTATTACAGCAAGTTGCCGCAGGGTACCGAGTTTTCAGGGTCCCCAGCGCTCTATAAGCAGGCTCAGGGTCGAACTCGGGCCCCAGCGCCCAACCAGCCCCCGAGCTGCCAAGGAATCACGACAGCATCCTGCTGGAGGCGGCGGGAAGAGCTGGCGGATGCTCTCCACCTTTCTCTCACTATAGCTGATCCATTCCACATACGCACTATCCCGTTTCTGAGGTGTCTTTCAAAGCCGTACCATGCACTTTCAAGTTGAATTTCCAGCATGACTGGAAGCTGGCTGGGCCCCGACTCTGCCTAAATCCCAGGCTTGCGGCTTGCCCCCCAACGGGGCTCGGCTGCCACAACCACCAATATGTGAAGCGTGGGTTTGGAACATGTGTTCAGCAAAACATGGCCCCCGTATTGGTGCCATGGTGAGGTCCCCATGTAAGAGTACAATCTTACGGGCGGAGACTGTATAGCTCTGAAGCCAGCATCATCTGCCAGTGCCTTCACCCGATCGATGGCAGTGGCGGAACCAGCACACTGCGCAAGGACAACCAGAGACACGCAATCACACGGACGCGCAAACCACTTGGAATGAAGAGTCTCCACCTCTATTATATCCGTCGTGCTGAAGCGGGATGTGGTACCCTGCTATGGGAGCTTCAGTGAACCAAAATAGTTTCCCTACGGTCTTCCCTTTGTGCTTCTTTGCACACGCAAAGGCGTCTTATCAGCTTCATGTTAGCATTGGAGAGCGAAAGTTGCATCATCTGAACGCGGCCAGGTGGAGGACCGGCAGTTCTTGGTGACTGTCCTAGGCCGATGGAGTCGTCTCATCCAAGTAATGGACCTGGAAACAGGCTCGGAGTGTCCCATGCACCAACCATCCCGACACAAGCATATGCCTCAGAAGGACGAAGGTTTCAAGAAAAGCTCGCTCGGGCCTTTACTAGCGAAGACAGAGCTCCGAGAACGCGCTGTAGCCCCCTGAGGGTCGTGGGAATTTGCCGCGCAGGTTTACAGTGGTCGAAGCGGACTGAGAGTGACGACCCAGATGGCGATCCCCTTGACAACCTGAACCATGTCTACACAGTACTGGTTGACAAGCTGGATGGTGGTGGCAAGGAGGTGTGGCTCCCCTGCGGCTTTCGAGGCGATGACATCCCCTCAAGCATCCTCAAGCCCTTTTTCAAGTAAGAAACCATTGGGACATATTGCTTCGAAGGGACTGAGCATGTGAAGCCCTGCACAGGCGATGAGGTCGACAAGGAGTTCTCCATCAAGTACATGCGAATTTTGGACTTGGAGACGCTTGAACTGCGAACTGGCCCAAAGCTTCCGTTCGCCGGCGGAGCCTGTACGGCTGTGGCTCTGGAAATAGTTCCGGGCGAGCCTCCCATGATTTGCAGCTTCGGTGGAACGAACGGCCATCATAATTCAGGCATTTTCCAGCCATATGCTACATGTTACGACCGCCTGCGGGAACGATTCTGGTTCCCTTTTGGCAAGATGCCATACGGCATGGATCATGGCAGCGTCGTGGTGACTCCTACTGGTGTATGTGGTGCCCAGCGACGGACTGTGATCATCCTCAACTACCGCATAGCTCCTTTTGGACATTGGACACTTTATAGTGTGGTTCATCCTTCTTGTTTTTCGTCCAATGGCGAATACTTTTGTTGTCTTCGCCTAGCCGAACCAAATAAGGTTCCTTATGGGAGCGCGCGGCCAGAAATGCTCGCTCACGATCTGCCCGAAAGTGGGTGGACGGCGGAAGAGCTAAGTCAGGCATCCATGGAGGAGCCAGGACATTCGGGATCACCTAGCACGCCGAGGGCCCTTTTTCGTAGATTCGCCCATGGATTCTATGTAAGGGTTGTATGCGGAGAAGCTACTGACTAGTTACGACTATGACTTCTTTCCACATCCTTGTCTTCTTGTCTCGCAGGACTACTTAAACGTCGGGACTCTTCATCTAACAAACAGGCACCATTACGGTTGCAGCCTCACTGCGCTTCATGGATCTCTTCTTAGTGCCGCTCTATACTTGGGGTATAAGGCCAGCTAAGCAGGAAAGTGGTACCTCTACCACAACGTGTCCTTCACCAAATCTGATCCTTGCACTTCTCCTCGGGACGCCAGCGGGATGGCCACTGCCAACGGTGGCCGGTTCCTGCTAAACTTTGGTGGAATATTTTACACGCCGCTCAACCCCCAAGCGGATGTGCTCGATTTCGCTTTGGAAGAGTAGCCTTAGATTTTGCAGGAGTTTGCCCAAAGTCTCCCAATGGACCAACGAAAGGGGGGCAGCTCAGGCGCGACAAGCATGGACACCCGGTCGGACACCGCTTCAGCGCCATCCGTAGCTTCGATGTTTGCGAGAACTTTGGGTCAAATTGGCGGGGTAGTTTTTAAAATGGTTCCGAGAAAGCCCTATTTCTAGATATGCCGGAGGTCACCACAAGCCCTAGTTCGACTCTTGAATGCCTGCAACTCAAGGAAGCGCTGGACGATTGAGGGAGACCTCGGGATGGATACGTTCGCACTGCAGACTGCGGCTAGCCAGAAGCTTCAAGTTGCAGTGACCTGCGGGGGCGAGTCGGTGGAGAGGCCCCACGCGACAAAACGACTAGCTTAGATTCAATGACTTATTCGGAAGGCTTGAACTTTAAGCCTTCAAGGCTCACGAACCCGGAGAGAGTTCTGCCCTGAGAGCTTATGTCTTTATGCAAAGGTCTCCACCTGCAGTTTGTGTATTCGCCTTCAGTCACAGGAAAGCTGCAGGCTAGCACCTCTTGGATCTGAGCTAGGCAACCTCAGCTTGAAGCTCCAAACCCGACGAATTTGGAACGCAGGTCGTTGAATCGGAATGGAAATCAGCCGTGGTGCATTGTTCACCGACCACGACACGGCCTAGAATTGGCCAATCGTCATGGCGGTGCTGCCACCCACAAGTTCCCACGGGGATTCGTACCCGGAGCAGAGCAGCAGAGAGCAAGATTGAAGCAGAAGGTGGGCAAGACTTAGTGGCTTCACATCGCCGCTGTGCGCAGACAGACCTTGACCTGGAGCCTGGTGTCACAAAACCTGCCCCACTGTGCTATGCCGCTCCCGTTTGCTTCTAAGGCAATTGGGGAGAGTGCCATAGATGACATAGGTACTTCTCAAGCATTTCGCGGTACTTCCCTGATTATGGGGACTAAGTCGGAGCGTGTCGTTGCTAGCCTGTGGCCATGGAAGTTCTATGGATTTGGTATGCGCAGAGGTTTAGGTATGTTGATGATGGGCTCCCGCTGGTGTCTCCGAGAGTCAGTGCCGAAATCACTTTGCCCGAGAAATCCCTGCCACCCCATGCCTTAATGAATTCAACCCTCAACTTCAAACCCTGAGCACTGAGCACGTAGGTCTGGGCGGTTTAAATGAATTGAGTGGGTTCGCCCCCGCGAGGGTTTAAGTAAATTGAGAGGGTCCACCCGAGAAAAGGTTTGTGAATTGATTGGTCCGCCTAAACCCTAAATATTGATCGTAAACTTTTAAACCCTACCTAAACCCTAAACCCTATTTAGGGTTTAGGCGGACCAATCATTTAGGGTTTAGGGCTTAAGGGTTTAGGGTTTAGGGTCCGCCAGCGCAGCTGGCGCCCTAGTCAAACCTGTGGAAAAAGGGGCTCCGGCCCTTTCCTCTAATGCGTTCGTTGCCGCAAAATCTCGCCGACTTCCGTTCGGACGGAGGAACGGGCGGATAGGAGGTGCGAAGAGACGGAAGGACGGACGGACGAGCGCGCGAAGGAAGCAACGCGCTTGAAAAACAAATTTTCGGAAAAGAAGGGCTCCGGCCGTTAGCTCCAATGCGTTCTTTATCGCAAATTTCGCTAGTTTCCGCTCGGATGGAGGAACGGCCGGACGGACGGACGGAGCATAAGAGCGATAGGGACGGACGAACGGACGGACGGACGGACGGACGCGCAAGCGAAGCAACGCGCTGGAAAAAAACAAAAACGGCAGCTCCGAAAACAAATTTGTTTCGGCGAAGCGTAGAAAAACAAAAACGAAGATTTGAGATTCACTTTTGTTTCGGCGTCTCCTGCTCGTTCCCATCGTCCATTTATCCATGAGTGCGTCTATATTGCGTAATGCAACAGCTAGTAGAGACTTTTCTTGTTTAAGAAGGAAAGGGACCAAGTACGTGATCGGGACAAAGATGGAAGCCGAAGTCGAGCAATATTTTTCCGCCGAGGCCGGGTGCGGAAGCCACCGGCCGAAGCGGCACGTTTCAAGGTGCAACAACCTTCAGATATACACCCTCATACAGGTATGTGTCCACATTTGTTTGTATTTGTATTTCGTTATTTGGCTCTATATCTATATGTAAATTGTTTGCTAGATGTATGCATACTTAATTCTGGATCTATATCTATATCCAGACATGTTTATCTGCATCTAAATATCGATTTGTTTCCGCCGAGGCCGGGGGGCGGAAGCCACCGGCCGAGGCGGCATCGTTTCCAGGTGTATCAACTTTTATGCATGCTCTTTGCATGATATTATGTATTCTTGCTTTATACAGATATGAATCCATGCATGTGTGTCCATTTTATTTTCATATGTGCATGTTGTTATCTATATGTATGCGAACAAAAATCTATGTCCAGATCTGTTTCCATGCCTGTATGTATGTGTATTTATATATATTTCTATCTTTATCGATGTTCGCTTTTTTATGCATATCTTCTTATATACAACTTTGTGGATCTCTATCATTGCCTATTCGTGGGTGTGTATTGTTAAAAGGAGATTCTTAATCTGTATCGTTGTCTATTTCTAAATGTGGATTTCGAGCTTTATGTGTATTTATAGTTATATATATATGTGTATATAAATATATATATATATACATTTATAGTTGCCGGTGTGTATACCTGTACCTATCGATATATTCGTATGCGTATGCAGAACATGAATGTGTCTATATGTTTTGAAATCTGTATGTTATATATATATATACATACCTGTTTTTTTATACCTATGTATCCATATACTTACATGCCTATATGTCTTTAAGTTTATATATCTACATGTTTATGTATTTGTGTATCTATCTACTTATATATTTATGTGTTTACGTGTATCTGTATATCGATAAATTTTATTCATGTATGTCTCTCTATAGTATCTACATGTATATATATATATGTATATATATATATGTATGTATGTATATATATATCATGTGTATAAACACAAACATTTTTTTATGTATGTATATATAGATAGATTAAATGTATACTCATATGTAAATGAGTATCTTCAAAGATATAAGACTTATATATCTATATACATAGTCTATATACACATATATCTATACATATATATATATGTACTTACAAACACATATGTCTATAGACAGCGTCATGCGTTGATATTAAATTCTTAAGTATCTAAAAGAATTGCTTCTGTTTCTGCATACACACATAAACATATACATACGCAAATACATGCACATGTACATATATATATACACATGCATATTCATATCAGTTGACAGTTTCCTTTTAAGGTTCACGGTACACTTCAATTAGCTTAAACCGGTCCCGAGGCTTGTCGCTTCAATTTACTTAAACCCTTCCGCGGGCTCAGCTGTCATAACCAATTGCTGCATACATATAAGCGTATATTTTGATCAATACCCATATGTTCATGTGTGTCTGTATCTGTGTATCTATATTTACATTATACATATATAGTTGTGTTTACCTGTATGCATTCCGAAACGCTGTATACTCATATGTAAATGAGTATCTTCAAAAATATAAGACTACGTATACATATATATGTATATATACATGTACAAATATATATATATACACATATATCTATACATATATCTATACATATATATATATGTACATATTTACAAACACATATATCTGTAGATAGCGTCACGCATTGATTGTAAATTCTTAAGTATCTAGAAGAATTGCTTCTGTTTCAGCATAGATATATATACATATACATGTACATATACATGTACATATACATGTACATATACATATACATATCAATTAACAGTTTCCTTTTAGGCTCCACGGTACGCTTCAATTAACTTAAACCTGTCCCGAGGCTTGTCGCTTTAATTTACTTAAACCCTTCCGCGGGCTCAGTTGTTGTAACCAACTGCTGCATACATATTATAAGCTTATATCTTGATTAATGTCCATGTCTGTATGTGTGCATCTATATTTACATTATACATATACAAATG